CAGAAGCCATCAGAGGGAAGAAAAAAAAAAAAAAAAAAAAAAGTTAGATAACGATCAAACGAAAATCAAAGAAAATTTGAAAAATGAATACTCATTACACATTGGACAAAAATTAAAAACAAAATAAAAATTGGGGTGGATTGCCCCAAAAGTGTAACAGTATCTAAACATAAAACATTAGAAAATACAGTGAAGCTAGCTTCTATCATACCACACTGCTGCTGTAAAGAGTACAGCGCCATCTAGTGTATTTATATGAGATCTTCAGTTTATACCAAAACCTTTATGTAGTTTCCGAAGAGCTGGACATTGCATACAGTGCACAACTGTGGAGAGCTGGAAAAGCCATATATAAAGAGCCTGCTAATATTTTGGCCTCTTTAGAATCTTATTGGTCTGGTAAAATGCAAAATTAGCTCATCTTCTAATAAAGATACCCAGAAGGCCTTATTCACATTGTTTTGGTGCATTTCTACAGCAGGTAAATACATGGACTGAGAAAATAATTGTTTTGAACAAGGCCTGTTCATGCCAGTCCTTTGCAATGGGACATGCCTTTTGGACTTTCCCTTTCACTGCAGTCCATTTAATAATACACGTTTCCTGAATGAGACATTTCTTCAAATGCCTAAAGGAGACCTAATATACTGTCTTGGTCTTCTTTGCTGTAGAACTGGGAGCCAGTGGGAGTTGTGCTGTGTCTGTGCCCACCCCATGCCCAGCTGCATTACCATGACTTAGTCGTGGACAAATTGCACCTAGACCTAGGAGCCAGCATAACGTATATGACTATATAGTAGCCAGGGTAGATAAAAATTGATGATTTAATTAAAATTAAAAAAAAAAAAACCCTGATTTTTTAAAAATTTTAATGGGATTTTTTTTTTATTTTAGCAAATTTATTTTAATAAAATGCTTTTGGAGAAAAAAATCTATCTAAAGATAGTTTTATATTTAAGATGCATTAATAATTTAGTTTATTCAGCATGAAATCCTAGATTTCATGAAATCTCCTAGATTGTAAGCTCGAAAGAGCAGGGCCCTCGAACCCCTCGTGTATTGTATTGTTACTGTCTTGTCTCATGTTCTGTCCCCCTTGCTACTGTACAGCGCTGAGCATACCCTTGGGCGCTATATAAATACTGTATAATAATAATAATGAAATGGAGCTTAGTTATGTAGCATGAGGCTGTATATTCTGCATTATTTACATTTTTGATAATCTCATTCAATGAAACCAAGCTCTGCAAGCTTACATGATAACATGCACTGCATTGATGCATTCACACAATGTCACAGTAACCATGTGAGAAACATGAAATAAAAGAATTTGAGTAGCTCTCCAGCTATGTGTGATTAACCTATTAACCTAAAATCAGTTCTGATCAGGGGGCGCAGATAAGGGGGAGGACAAGGGGGGTCTGAACCCCCAGAGGAGAATTGCCAACCATCCCTGCAGCCCTCGAGCCACTTGCCTGCAAGTGGAAATAAGGTGGGGGCGGCGAGCAGTGCTGGGACTAGGGGTGTGTGGGAGGGGCGACGGTGACAAGCAGCGATTTCCTGTATGGCTTTCAATAAAGCAGCTGGAAGCCACAGGAGGGAGAGGAGGAGAATCTACTTCCAGCTGCTTCATTGAAAGCCATACAGGAGATCACCGCTTGTTACCGCCCCCAACGCTGCACAGAACAGAACTGACGGGTCAGTTTCCTTTCTGCCTCCCCCCTCCGACAGTCGCTGTGTTCTCACTGCTCAGCCCCTCCCTCCATCCTCTGCACCAATAGGAGACGAGGGGAGAGAGGCTGGATCTGCTCTGCCTCCCCCTGTGCCCGCTCATACTCCAGTCCGTGCACCTTTAGAGGATGTGTGGGCGGGAAACTGAACACAGCAGCCGACAGCTCTGATGCATCTGATTGAGTCATGGTAAGTCCAACCTTCCTTCCCCTTCCACCCCCTCCCCACCCTCCTTCCCTTCCTTCCATCCACCCCTCTCACCCTCCTTCCCTTCCACCCCCCTTTCCCTCCTTCCACCCCTTCCTTTCACCCACCCCTTTCTCCCTTCCACCCACACCTCCCTTTCTTCGTTCCTTCCTTCCACACACGCCTCCCTTCCTTCGACTCACCCCTGCCCCCCCCCCCCCCAAAAGAAGAAAAAAAATTATCTACAGCCCTGGTTCTGATATCACTGATATTACTAACCTGACAGCTTATTATTCTAAAAAGGAAACCTTCAGTTGGTTTGCAAATATTAAAGATCCTAACTACCAGCAAAAATGAGTAGGATTCCTTACATTTAAAAAGAGTACCTGTCATTTTAGATCCATCATTAGTGCCTGTTAGCGGGCATCCACTCACCTGCTGCCGCCGCATCCCTCGCCTTGTTGTGTCACTGCTGCATCACCAGACGTCCCATTAAAGTGAATGGGACTGTCGGTGACTTAACAGCGGGTCAGAGGAGGAGCTGCTGCAGGACAGAAATGACAGTTGCTCTTTAAAAATGATTTAAATTGAGCCTTTTCACTAGTGATTTAAATCAACTTTATTTAATTCAAATCCACCCTGATAGTAGCTGAAAGACAGTTAAAGCCTCATTCAAAAATGCATATAGGGACCAACGAGCATTTGCTGCGAAAGACTCAGCAGGATTTCTGAGTCTTTTGCAGAAGGACTCTGCAAAGAGCTGCTTGCAGTAAATCCCCTACAAAGCAAGGAGAGGCTGATAGTGTCTGAAGCCATTCCCATGTAATATGTAATGTGTAGCTAATGTGTGTGCATGAATTGCTAGGTCCACCCTTCTCACATGCCAGCCTGACTTAGCTCACTCTGACTCACACAATGCCAACTGTCAATACAGTCACATTAGCTGCAGTGTTCTCACGCAGTACTAGCTTTTCCTAACAATAGCCTTGGCATTTCAGTGCCTGCCATGTCATTGACAACAGCTCCCAATGACCCAGTGGCCAGAGAAAGTTTTTTAGTAGCCATGGTGATTGGCATCCATGAATCATCCAGCCCTGTCATAATCCATACTAGGCACTCCATTAAGTGGTGGTATTATGCCATCCAACTGCATAGAGTCAGCATTTAAATGTTTGCAAAAAAAAAAAACAAAAACAAAAAATATGTCTGTTACAGCAGGTGGAGACCTTCAGCCTGGGTTCAGACTGGATGTGGTGCAATGCAGTGTGATTTTCATGCTGTTTGGAGCGTGAATTTGTGGTGCGATCTGTGCTTGACAGCTGCGATTGTAATGCAATTTTAATAATCCATGGAGTTTAAAATTGCACTGCACTACACAAGCACAGGACCCTTTTAATTGCACCGCATAGATGTGGAACTACCTTCATAGAGAAAAAAAAAATGTAATTTTGCTTGACATACAAATTTATACGTTCTGGAACAGATCTGAGCCGCATCACATTCACATCAGCGTGAACCAGGGCTTAAACAGTATGTTTTTATTTAAAAAAAAAAAAAAAAAAAAAAAACAACATTGTTTTTCTAAAATGACATTGGGAATATATTTCATGAAGTTATCTTTTAAATTAAAACCTTTTTTTCTGAAGCAAAAAGTAGTGTCAACAAGTGGTACATTCTATTCTCCAATTTAACACCCTCCATGGGAAGCTATTGATCTCTATACTGATTGAAATAGCAGCCTATTCTGAAATGACATAAGACAAGCAATTCATGAAACAGTGATGAGTTATAAGAATTTCAACTGCTTAATGTACCGAGCATTTTCTCACTTTTTAAAATTTAATAAAATTGATTTTTTTATAGCCATTGATATAGCACCTGCACAATCCACAATGCTTCACCTGTGACATTTAAAGCCAACCATATCTTCAACAAAGAGTGGCCATTAAATTCATGGTGCTGAAAATAGTTTTTTTTTTTTTTTTTGTTTATAAACCATGTCCAGTGCAAATACAAAGCCTGTGCTTGAGCTAGACAATTAACAGGGATATTGTTTGCTTTCAAGATTGACATTAAGTTGATATTGGACTATCACTGTTATGGTGGCTGGACTTATGTTTATATTTATGAATTCATTTATTTTTATTATTTATCCTTGCATGTTTTGTGAATAATTAGCGCACTTTTTATTTGTACACTATTTTACCTTTTTTGTTTAGAGGTGCTGCTTATTATTTGATTTATTTTGCATTTTCTGTGGCGCTTCTTATATCAGCTACACAATTAACAGGGATACATTCACTATAAAAAAAAAAAAAGTCAGTCATTTTGGAGCTTGATGTGAACTGCGTATTTGTGTAAAATTGTACTTATCTTTGCATCTTGGATATCAAGATCCAAACTTGCTGACCTTACCACTTCATTGCTACTATACATGTACAATATAGCATACAAGTACTGCTACACACTGTATTCACACTTGGGTGTGAAGTAAATAAGACAGGCTTCAGATCGAAACCCTGTCCATCAGTTATGCCCCCCATGACATGTTTCACCCACATTGGGCTTACCTCTACGATTAAGCCCACTGTGGGTGAAACATGTCAATGGAGTGTGACAAACAGAAAGGGATTTGAGCTGAAGCCTGTCTTTCATTTACTTCACACTGGAGTTGAATACAGTGTGTGGTGGTACCTGTATCTTGGAGCGAGATGTGCTGTCTTTGCCAGCACTTTATTACATCGGCACCAGATGTTGCATCGCCGATCTGATATGCTATTAATCAGGGTAGATAGATATCTAGTTAATCAGGTTAAAAATGACACATGTCCATCTAGTTTAACATAAACAAAAATTAATAAAAAACCTCCATATACAGAACCCTATACCCAGAGCAGGAAGCCAAAAAGCTGCAAAGCATGGCCCAATTTGCACTAACAATGCGCCTTTATTCCCAAGGAGTATTGGCTACCTGTCCTCAAGGTATTTCTCTGATAAGTTATAGCAACATTTGTTAGGGTCATATTGTATGTTTCAGTCATTGTAAACAAACCAATGGAATCATAACCAGACACATTCCATACCTTCACATTCATGGTGAAATTTCTATAAACAGTCTGTGCTCCATAGAGGAATACATCTCCATCATTGGTAATACATCCATCCACGTAGCCCTTGGCATTGAGATAAGCACACATTGCTTCAGCTTCCCCTGCTGCTTGAACCCAAGGGACACCCAGGCAGTCCAACATGCGCAGACACTACAGACAGAAAGACAGACACAGTAAAAAGGCAGGTTGTATACCATAGTGGATCAGTCACTAATATTCTTGAATTAATTTGGCACACGTCAGCACTACCAAATCGCATATCATTGTTCGTAAAGAGCTACCTCTTTTTTGAAGCAAATAAATAAAATGCAGCTGCTGAGCGGTTTAAAAGCAGAGCTTAAGCAAGACAAGAAATAACAAAAATTAATGTCTTTTTTTGTATTTGTCTATGATTCAAAATGTATTTAAAAAGGCAGCTAGTGCAAAAAACTGTAAGGAAGGGAAAGTACTAGGAGCCAGATAGACTGCATGCACATGTGCCAACAGGGAACATGCAGACAGGAGAGAGCAGTGTGAGCACATTTGTAAACTGCTGTTGCTCCTCATATCTGTGGGCAGGGAGGTGACCAGGCTTTATTACCTAATGGGGAACTTCAGTGGGGAAAAAATTGCTAATAGGAATGTTTTCACTGAAAAAAACAGACTTCTGCTTCTTACCTGCCTGCCAGAAAGTGGTTAGATTGTACACTGTGCTGCACGTGTGCAAATCAGTGTACAATCTCAGCATGGCACAGGGATAAATTGCATTATCCTGGGACAACCTACTAAGATTTCTTAAGACACAATAACCAGAAGAAGATTGGGCAAAGATGTTAACAGCAACAATGGAGCTCGTGAAAGTTGCATCACTGAAGGAGATAACGGTTGCAAATTTGACTGACATACAGAGAAGTCTGGTCACCAACCTGGCTGTATAGTTCAGCAAAATGGTATAAATCTCAGGACTGAATAGACAGAAATGCAAATCCTTTGGCAGGTAGAACAGCTGCCACATACAGTATATATTTTGGCTATGCCTTTGTCTGTTTGCCGGGAGTTTAGATTTAAGTGACCTTAATTAAGTCTAGGCAGGCTAGATCACATGGAGGAGAGTTACTAAAACTGGTGCAGTCAGAATCTGATGCAGATGTGCATGGTAGCCTATCAATTTCTAACTTGGCTTGTTCAATTAGGCTTTGACAACAAAACCTGGAAGTGGATTAGTTTCTAAGCAGAGCTGACGCAGATTTTGCACACTCTAGTTTTAGTAAATCTCGCCTCCTGGTCTATTTCTGCTACAAGCTTTGGGGGCATTTAACAACTTCCCGTCTGGCCTATTGCAAAATGACAGCCAAACAGGACTTTCATAGTTTCAGGTGGATGTCATATCTGTGCTTTGGACATGTTGCTAGCTGTGATTGGGCACAGTGATCACATGGTACAGCCAGGGCCAATCACAGCCCATCTGTACCATGCATTAGCTGTGGCCAATGGAAAAAATTAATTCAGTATATATTGTTGATTAGCTGTGGCCAATCACAGCTAATCACAATACATACTGAATTAATCTATTTCATTCAGTAAAATGCTTACTTATAGCAGTGAAACTCACTGCTGTAAGCAATCATAATGTGTAAAAGGAAAAAAAATCCTGATCACCTTCCAGAGTAGTACAATGTTACTATGGTAAAATTATATTACTATAGTAACAGTGTGTTAAAAAAAATCATTAAAAACGATGAAGAGAAAAAAATTCAGTGTCCCTGATCACCGCCACACCAGTTATATGATGATGACGCTGTACTGCATTGGTGACAGTATGGGGGAAAAAATACAAAACATTTTTTTTAATTGCTTCATTTTCCAAAAACTTATGACAAAAAATTACAACTTCAAAAGATTCACCATGCCTCTTACGAAAATACCTTGGACTGTCTACTTTTCAAAAAGGGGTCATTTGGGGGGTATTTGTACTGTCCTGACATTTTTGAGCCTCAAGAAATGAGATAGGCCGCATCAGGACTGATCGATTTTCAGATATATATCATAGTTTGTGGACTCTATAAAACATTCCTACAGACTAAACAAACATGGATTTGGGTTATTTTCACCAAAAAAATGCAGCAGAATACATTTTGCATTAATTTTATGAAGAACAAACAATTTATTTGCAAAATTATATATTAATTTTAATTTATTTGCAAAATTTTATAAAAGAAACGCAGAAAAACTCGTTTTTTTTTCCCCCCCAAAATGTTTGGTCATTTGTTGTTTATTTAGCAAAAAAAAAAAACAATGGTGATTAAAACTCAGCTCCTTGCCTTGAAAGGGCTGGGACAGTGATACTAATGGGGGATTTTAACTACCTGGAAATTGACTGGAGTAATGGTACTGCAGGAATGGTTAAAGGGCAAACATTTATAAACCCAATGGTTCATGTGGGTACAGTGTTGCATGACAAAGCAATTGTCATTTAAAGTGTGACGATGAAATATGAAAATTGGCCTGGGCAGGAAGGGGGTGAAAGTGCTCAGTATTGAAGTGGTTAAAAGTCAGAGAATACAAAGTCTCCCTGTGAGGTAGATTGCAAATAAGATAAAAGGATGACTGAGGCACACACAGAAAATGCAGTCCTAACATATAATGAAGGACTGTGGCCACCCTGTGTACATACACTCACCAGCCACTTTATTAGGTACACCTGTTCAATTGCTTGGTAACACAAATTACTAATCAGCCAGCAACTCAAAGCATTTAGGCATCTAGATGTGGTAAGGACTTGCTGAAGTTCAAACCAAGCATCAGAATGGGGAAGAAAGGAGATTTAAGTGATTTGAATGTGGCATGGTTGTTGGTGCCAGACAAGCTGGTCTGAGCATTTAAAAAAACTGCTGATCTACTGGGATTTTCATGCACACCCATCTCTAGGGAAATAGAGACTCATCAGACCTGGCAACGGTTTTCCAATTTTCTACAGTCCAATTTTGGTGAGCCTGTGCTAACTGTAGCCTCTGTTTCCTTATCTTAACTGACAGGAGCGGCACCCGCTGTGGTCTTCTGCTGCTATAGCCCATCTGCTTCAAAGTTCGATATGTTGTGCGTTCAGTGATGGTATTCTGCATACCCTGGTTCTGACAAGTGGTTATTTGAGTTACTGTTGCCTTTCTATCATCTCAAACCAGTCTGTCCATTCTCCTCTGACCTCAACAAGGCATTTTTTTAATCCACACAACTGCCGCTCGCTGGATATTTTCTCTTTTTCAGACCATTCTCTATAAACCGTAGAGTTGTTGTGTGATTGGCAGATTATCAGTTTGTGTTACCAAGCCATTGAACAGGTGAACCCAATAATGTCAAAGAACTAGCATCGAAATGCCTGTGCTGAATGAAAAATTAAATTTCAAGTTGTTGTACCTCCTTCAGCACAGACTTGAAATAAGAGCGTCCTGGTCTGGATGGAACTGGCTTCTTGGTCGCTCCATATCTCATTGCGTTCCTCTTGTTCATTGTGTTGGCTTTAACCTTTGGGGCTTCCCCTTCTGTCACAAAGACCAGCTTCACTCCCATTAAGTTCAAGGGAAGAGAGACGGAAAAATAGATTCCTGTTGAAAAGGAAAAACCAAAAGGGAATGTCTATTTTGTTTCTCAGATCTACTCGGGAATGTATTCAAATCAGTGTAAATAAACCTGGAACATGTAAATTAAAAAAAAAAAAAAAAGTTCAGTCTCTAAACAAAAACATATACATAAAGACAACACAATTTGCTATTTATCTATGCAGTCCCCACTTTCATCTTAGTATTAGTGCACGGTGACTGCACTTTAACACTCCTGTTACCATGTGCGCCTATCAGGTAGCTCAGATGATGCGCTTTCGGAGAGATGGGTAAAAAGGAAAGGTGTGGTGGTGTCTCTCTATGTAAGAAGTGATCTCAAAGCGTGTGTGAAAGAGGACCTAGTTGATGGAGAGTGTGATGAGGCTGAAACATTATGGGTGGAACTGCACATGGGGGCGAGTACTACAAAGGTAATCATTGGAGTTTGTTATAGGCCACCCAGTAAGAATGAGGAGATGGAAACTCAGCTCCTTGCACAGATTGAAAGGGCTGGGACAGTGATACTAATGGGGGATTTTAACTACCCGGAAATTGACAGGAGTAATGGTACTGCAGGAACAGTTAAAGGGCAAACATTTATAAACCATCATTTATTATTACCATTATTATTAAGACAATTTTATGGTACAGTTTACAGAGGCTCCAACTAGAAATGATGCTCTGCTGGACCTGGTAATCTCAAACCATGCAGAGCTTATTACTAATGTTCATAAAAAAGAACATCTGGGTAGCAGTGACCATAACATGATTTCATTTAATTGTAGCACTACCCCCTTAGGAGTCGCTAGAGATTTGGGTCCCCTATAGTTCTGCACAGCCAGGCAACACGCATTTCCACATCAACTTACATCCAGGAGACAGTAGCCAGTTCTTGAGCTTTGTTTTGAAGTTGTATTAGGGGTGTACAGGATGCCCAATGGAACTGTGAAACCGAGGACAACCTCCTGGAACTATATACAAGTTTTTATAGCAAAAACTAGTCTGGAGAGCTAGCCAGCATCTCCAGTTGTACCTCCCCAGACCCTGGATTCTTCTAATCCAGCCGATCTGGGTGAATCCCTGAACAGGAGATCCAGTGGCTGTCGCATTAAGGTAAGACAGTATCGGGTAGTTGCCAATCTGGTTTCCCACCAGAGTGCTCTTTCCCCTATCTGGCCCAGGGGGGTGCAGGTCTACTCACTCAGTCCTTCTCCTGTGTTGCTGGTGGGTTGATGACTGCTACCAGGTCTTCTAGCCAGGCTGCTCCTCCACACAGGTGGTCCTCTCTCTTGGGGCCAGGGAGGTCCCTAGGCTTCCTCTTTCCAAGCTTCCTGCCTGGGAGGTAAGCCCCTCTCCACCCGAACTCTCCTGCTGCTGAGCAGGCTGTTACTCTTAAAGGCTGTCCTGGCCCCTTGCCAAGCCTCCTGTTGGGGATTGACCAAGATCTCTAAGAATACAGACCAGCCACTTCTCACCTCCGCCCAGTGCTTCTAGATCTTTCACCAAAGTTCCAGAGCAGGGGGAAGTGTCAGAAAGCTGGTCTGCAGAGCCTATCAGCCCTGATCAAAATTTAACCTCCCTCTGACTATTGCATATAGTCAGCCTCTGACTAACAATCAGAGCTAGAGCTCCCCTTAGCTGACTAGGAGGGTGCTACATAATGTTAGCAGTAAACAACAAACACATACTGGAAATAAGAAAAAACATTTATCTTTAACCACTTGCCCTCCAGAAGATTTACCCCCCTTAATGACCAGATCATTGCTATTCAGCACTGCGCTATTTCAAATAGTAATTGCGTAGTCATGCAGTGCTGTACCCCCCCCCCCCCAAAAAAAAATGTCCTTTTTTTCACACAAATAGAGCTTTCTTTTGGTGGTATTCGGTCACCAATGGGTTTTTCTATGATATACAGTGCAAACAGAAAGTATTCACAGCGGTTAACTTTTGCCACATTGTTATGTTACAGCCTTATTCCAAAATGGATTAAATTAATTATTTTCCTCAACTTTCTACAAAAAATACCCCATAATAACAACGTGAAAGAAGTTGACTTTGAAATCTTTGCAATTTATTAAAAATGAAAAAGGAAAGAAAAAAAAAACAAAAAAAAAAAAACACATGTACACAAGTATTCACAGCCTTTGCCATGACACTCAAAATTGAGCTCTGGTGCATCCTGTTCCCACTGATCATACTTGAGATGTTTCCACAACTTGATTGGAGTCCACCTGTGGAAAATTCAGTTGATTGGACATGATTAGGAAAGGCATAAACCTGTCTATATAAGGTCCCACATTTAACAGTGCATGACAGAGCACAAAACCAAGCCATGAAGTCCAAGGAATTGTCCGTCGACCTCCGAGACAGGATTGTATCAAGGCACAGATCTGGGGAAGGGTACAGAAAAATTTCTGCAGCATTGAAGGTCCCGATGAGCACAGTGGCCTCCATCATCCGTAAAAGGAAGAAGTTTGGAACCACCAGGAATCTTCCTAAAGCGGGCTGCCTGGCCAAAATAAGCGATTGAGGTAGAAGGGCCTTAGCCAGGGAAGTAACCAAGCACCACATGTTCACTCTGAAAGAGCTCCAGCGTTTCTCTGTGGAGAGAGGAGAACCTTCCAGAAGAACCACCATCTCTGCAGCACTCCACCAATCAGGCCTGTATGGTAGAGTAGCCAGACAGAAGCCACTGCTCAGTAAAAGGCAAATGGCAGCCCGCCTGGAGTTTGCCAAAAGGCACCTGAGGGATTCTCAGACCATGAAAAACAAAACTCTCTGGTCTGATGAAACAAAGATTGAATTATTTGGCTTGAATGCCAAGCGTCACAGCGACACATTATGTAAATTTGTAACACAGGAGGTCTAGTGCTATATTTACTGCCCTCGAGCTGACGTTTACGGTGATACCTCACATGCATGGTGGAATCTCTGTTTGCATACCGCTATGAGACCGGCGCTTGTGTTTGCATATGGGCATGGGGGTGAATTTTTTTTTTTAATTATTTTTACACTGCACCTTTAATTTTTTTTTTTTTTCTGATCACTTTTATTGTTATCACAGGAAATTAAAATATCCCCTGTGACAGGTATTCTTTTCTGAAAAATCTGGGGTCTATTAGACTCTAGATCTCTCCTCTGCCCTTAAAGCATCTGATCACACAAAGATCGGTGTGTTAAGATGCTTTCCCAATTTTAAAATGGCGCTTTTTATATCTGGCGAAACAGAAATGATGAAATACTTGTAGCTTCCGGTCTCTTAGATCATAGAGATGATTGGAGGCATTCCAGTCTCCGATCAGCTCTATTGTTAGCCAGTGAAACTGCCGGCTGCATTTTTTGGTTCCCCGCTAGGACAGAAGAACCCAAGAAAACCTTGGAAGGAGGTGGGAGGGGTGGGGGAGTCACTTCCTACTACTTGTAAAATTAGCAGCTAGGATTGATTTTACATGAAAGTCGACCGCCAGCTGCAAAAAACGATACCAGGATGATGCTTGTAGCTGCAGGCATCATCCCACTATAACCACTCAAAGTGAAGTACCAGTATGTTGCTGGTGCATGTTCGGCATATGTAACAGCAGAGAACATGGGCATATGATGAAATCAGGTCTGTGGACAATATGACCACAATTCATTCTTTTTTTTTTTTTTTTTAATGCCCATGTTGAGGGTTACGCCCACAAAAGTTTCAAATTCAGGAACTGTAACAGGTTTCCATGTGAATGGTCTGGCAAGAGCTGAATTTGGGTGGGCAGCGATGTATTGTGCATATAAATTGCTTTGGCCCACAATCAATTGATACAAATCTTCCGTGAAAAACAGCAGAGGGGCTAAACGCTAGCGCTGGCAGCAAACTGGGCTGATCCTGCTAACAATGCATTTTTGGGGACACTATACAAAGGAGGCACTAGTATAGTTCTGTTCGTGATCAATATATTGATCTGTACAAACACTATACTAGTAATGGCGGTGATCAGCAACCTATAGTGTGAGCGCGATAATGTGCGGGTGACAGTTTTTTGTTATTCTCGTAAATTCCCTAAGGCTGAAATAAATAAAGCTGGGCAGCATGGTGGAGGGGGACGCTTTGACCAGAGCCTCCGCATTGTTGGCTGACAGGTGGCAAGTAGTTTAAAAAAAAAAAAAAAATTATATGCAAACAGAATTTCTCTCAATTTTTTTAAATTTCTTTTACAATTTGTTTTTCAATACTTCCTAGTTTTTTACTCGGCAGAGTAATGCAATGTTACCATAGTAGCATTGTACTACTCTGGGGTGATCGGGGATTTTTTTTTTGTTTGTTTTCTACGCTTTGCATTGCATGAGCAATTGCTTATGATAGTTCAACATAATAGTGATCTGTGTTTGGCTCTAGCTTGTCACATGGTAAAGGGTGCTGCGATTGGCCCCATGTGTCATGTGAGAGCTGGGGACCAAACATAGCTCTCCAGGAAAAGAAGCAAAGCTTTTATGAATCAGATTCATGCAAGCTTTGTTGTCATTACGATCACATGATCTCTGGGTCCCGATTACCGGGATTCTCATTTTGCTGAGTCCAGTGGCAGTGCCCCATTGTGTTAACAAACGACCAGCGATGTACAGGTACGTCGCTGGTCCTGTTGCTGCTGCTAGAGAGCAAATTTTCTAAGTCTGAGGGCTGCTCGCCAAGACAAACTGGAAGGCAATCTTGACATTAATCAACACAGAACAGAAAAGGTAATTCTTCAAAAGACCGTATGTAAACACACTGCAAAATATATTCCCACGGGCAATAAGCTTAAAGGGCTGAAATTAAAACCTATGTGGCTCATGGCCTAAGTTAAAAAAAAAAGCTACAAATAATCAGAAAAGAGCTTTTAAAAAAAATATAAAAATGAAGGAACACTATCATCATCTAATTCTTACAAGGAATATAAACAGAATATGTAAAAGGGAAAGCATGCCCACAAAAATTGAAAACGAATGACAGAT